ACTTTATTGTCATTGCACATTTTCTTGCACAAAGAAATTTGCATTGCTGTCCCTAGGATGTGCATGTATCTAGTCATTACAACATAAAAACATGCATTTTTTCAAAGAATGAACCTGTGTAAATATAAATACATTTATATGCATTGTTTTGGCAAGATCGGAGAAAAGAAAAGCAACAAGTTTCCCTTACAGATAAAACTACAATGTAATGAAATGTACTAAATGCGCCTGATTTTTAATGTGCAACATTCCATTATGGTAGTGTATCTGTTTCTTTATCCTCTACAGAACTTGCTGAGAGTGAACATAAACAGCTGTCTCCTGCCATCTATGAGGAAATAGATTACAGGTTTACCAAAGTGACAGAAAAGGCCAATCAGAAAGGTTAGTGTAGTGAAGTACTTATGACCACATCAGTACTCAGGATTTTAGTACATTGTCCAAACAGGATAGGTCTCCACACTGAAATCACTAACCCTTCTTCTGGTGTCAGGGAGTGATCTTCCAGATGAGCTGCCCTCAGGGTATGAAGATGTGGGGGAAGCTGAAGGAGTCAATCTCTTAGGTAATGATGGTGCAGAACAGCTTAGAAATAATGAATTATACTTATGATAATAAAGTAAGAATTCAGATGATTTCTCCCAGCAGGCACTGATGTGATTTCTGTCTCATGTCGTTGTTATTTAGAGAAGACGATCACTGGAGACGACCCAGAAAACTATCATGACCATGTTTGTGAGAAAGAGACTCCAGAAAAGTTGACAGGTGAGATTTTCTCAGCTCAGCAATACCAATCTTCCCTTCTTAAGACATGAAAGATGGACCGTATTACTCTTCCTGGACATCTGAAACATTTAAATTAAATTTCATTCACCTCCTTGCTTTGACTTTGTGTTTGTAGGGATAGATACCCTGGAGTACTACAATGACAGCCCCACAGGTCAGACTGACTATGATAATGTCACTGACAGCCAGACCAATGACTATGATGATGTCACTGACAGCCAGACCAAAGACTATGATGTCGTCTCTGTGCAGCATCACCCTGACTCTCAGCCAGGTGAGCGGCTCTAAAGGGATCAGCTGGTCACTTTGCTCCAATCAGACAGAGTTCGAGATAATCTCAGCCCAGGCCTTCTGTTATGCTGATTGTTATTACTAAACATGGAATTATGAATATCTCAAGTGTGACACTATAACAAGTATTTCACTTACTACTTGGACAGATATTGCTGTTTTTCTTATGGAACCTTAAGGTTCTTTTTTGAAATATTATACA